CCTGAGACGTTCAAGTACCGGGAATCGATGATTCCTCGCGCAATCAATGGCGGTCACGAGGTTGATAGGATTGTCAAGCATAGTGGGAAGGGAAGAAACAGGCAGTATAAAGTACATTTTCTATACCATCCACTGAATGATATCTACTGGATTGCTAAGAAGGACTTACTGCAGAGTGCACCGCGCGTCGTTAACGCCTATGAACGATTGATCAGTTCGGAACAACAACCAAAATTCACTGCTACCCTCACTCCTACGGAACACACCCGATCTCTCTTTGCTATCTACGCCTACGATGCATTGTGCAAGGACTCTGATTGAGTTACTCGCTCGAAGGGACCTCGCTCTTGAGGGGGGGGTAGTGTAATGACCCGTCAAAACACAGACTGAGAACACTGCTGAATTCTGAAGTTCTGCCGATGGAATGGATGCCTTGCTGACATTCCCGCATTCTGCTGTGTTTTCTAAGTCTGTCTGTGTGTGCGTGCTTGTGACCTGCGTGCCTGTCTGAGTGCTTGTCATCAGGAGGACCCAACAACTGTAGGCGAAAAACAGTGTAGAGATGGAACCGAGACGCGGGTCGCGGCACACGTTGACACACGCGCAAGGCCCGATTACGGGTGGCGCAGGAGGATCGCCGTTTTTTTAAGGTGCGGCGGTGCGCTGCAGCAACCGACCGGTCCGCAGTACCGCAAGACCTACGAAGGCCGCAAAGAAGAGAAGAACGTAGCGGCACTGCGTCCGGGTGCCCGTCCGGAGCCAAATGGCCTGCCGCGGATTGCGCGAAGACGGCCTGCGAAGCCCGGGCAGCGTCACGAGATTGGGAAACTCGTTTTCGAATCATAGACTGCCTTCGTTGTTCTCTCATGGCACGGGCAGCCGAGGTGGGACTCATACGTTGGCTGGCACTGCCCCGGACCATCGGCTGCCTCGCAAGTCCACGTCGTATTGCAAGTCTTGCGGACCTACGCAAGCCGGAAGACCAAAAGGCTTGGTGAAGTGTATGTGTAGGTTGAAGGCGATGAACCGGAGTAACAGCGTGAGGTGAATGCTGTGGATGTCGCAGACCAGTTACCTGTAAACGCAGGCCTTCGTCAGGCAGAGGACGCGGGCGCTTTTGGGGGGTTGGCACAAACTCTTCGAAGGGCACGGGATTCTGGATCTCCACTGGCACAGGTAAACTGGCAAGCGACGGGAGAACGGCACGTGCATTCCAATCTGTCGTTCTGCTGCCCGGAACGCAGCGAAGAGGTACACAGGGGGGGCGGGCTTGACGTTTTAATCTGAGGATGGTCATGCGGGAGTGCCTTGCTTGCCGGCTATCCAGAGCAGCAATCACCTCAGCATTGTTCATGCTACGGACCGGACTTTCAATTTCCCGTCGTACCGGGTGGGGCGACAGCAGCAGGTCCCTTCGGAGAGCGGGGGGTGCATGAAATGGGAACAATTGGCATTGTGGAAGACCGTTTGCAGTGGGCTGGCTCGCTGCTGGACACGGGACGGGTGACAGAGGACGGAATGCAGGGGAAGCACTTAAAACCACGCATGGATGTTCTGCTGATGCCAAGGTGCACGGAAGGGGCAGAGAAGACGAGAGGCGTTCAAGTGGATTGCAAGGGTCGACGGAATTTTGCTGTCCAAGAGAAATGTCCACGATATTCACAGGACCACAACCGGGACGAGAAGGAGAGGCAATATGGCGAATGCAGGGGTCATGGGACCGTCCGATAAAATTTTGTACGTTGGTGCATCCAGAGTTTCCAATTTCGCCACTGCCAAGGTATGCAGGAGGACCTGCGAGGTGTACCGTGGGCAGCGAAGGGGCGGAAGCACTCGGCATAGAATCCTAGACTATGCCGGGAGAGACGGTGGAAGCGGGTCTTCGACTGAGAGAGCCATGAATAGAAACACGGCCATCGGGTGATATCAGATCGGCTCGCGGGAGGGAGGAGGAAGATGAAGTGGGAACGGGAACTGGGGTCTGCCGAACCGTGACCGGGTGCTGTCGAGATAGGAAGAGGGAAGGGGAAGTGCAAGGAGAAGTGCAACCTGCTCTGAGAAGTTATCATGGCCAGTGGAGCGGTTCTCATTCCGGCAGGGAGCAAATTTCGTCCTTCAGAGTCAGGAGGGAAGCTAGGAGTCGAGGATTGGGTTTTCGACCTCTCTTGAGGCAGACCGTCTTTCCTTAGTCTTACTCGTGTTTTCCATGGTCTAGGATAGGTATTTGTCTGGGAACGAACGGGGGCGGAGCAACGGTCCGGGCCAAAGGAGGAAGAATTGGTCGGGGCACAGTCGTAGCCAGAACTACGAGGGACAATCAAAGTAGGGGATGTAACCAATCCATCCGAGGAACGATCCGAGAGTTGAGAGGCACTGTTCTGAGATGCCGAGAGGTGTGCGATGTATCCACGAGGAGGCGGACCGTCAATCCGGTGGCAGTCGACAGCAATCCCAGTGTCGCAACGCACATGCAAACCAGGGGCATCCGAGACGATCTGAGGACGGGCATAGGAGACATAGGGGGACGACGGATTGGAATCCAACGGGATGGCAAGAACGGAAGGGAGATGAAGAGGGGCGGGAGGGATTTGGACTTGGCGGTCCCGCCTCCCAGAACGCAATCTCTGCGATGGAGACAAAAGTTGGTGTCCCGATGGCAAATTCTCAAAAGATGTGTGAAGCATAAGAGCTTCTCTCCACGGGCCAGGCCTTGTGCGCGGGGCGGATGCAGAAGGAGCCGGTGAGCCATGACCGCAGAACAATGTTCAGCAAGACGGTTCGAGGCAGCGGATTCACGACACAGTCCGCGGAGTCACAGACAGGAGCAGACGGGCCAAGGTAAAACCGAAGGAGAAACACAACAATTTCAGACAGGAGGCAACGAGACGGCAAACTGGGAAGGAAACAGAGAGGCGGACGATTCAGCAAACATAAAGACAACAAAGCCACATTGAGCAAGTCATGTCAGCATGCAGGTAAAACCAACCAAAGGTGATGCAACCTTTCAAAAGCCGAACTTTCGAATAGCGAAGACGTGTTAGACGCAAAATTCCAAAGACGAACAGAGCAAGGGTCCGAAAATACATTGTCAAGAGGGAAAAAACAGATGTTTCATTGTCGCGAGAGGACGACTTCGTGTCCCGGGCTGTCGCCGTCTGTCTGGGCACAGAGGTGAGAGTTTTATCATGGCACGACCGACAGGCAAATGGTAAGCCTAGAGGCGGTACAGCGAGGCCCAGTGCCCGACAAGGAATTTCAAGGGAGAACAGTAAAAACGGTAGAATAAAACGAAGAAGGAAAAAATAAAATAAAAGAAGGAACTGCAATGCAAGTGCAAAAAAGGGTACAGGGACATATAAGTAATCACTCCACAGGACGAAAACAACGTGTGGGAAGCTCTCGACAATCGCGAGAGCCTTGGGGATGCATCCAATCACGGTCCGTCACACATGGCCAGCAACAGAACGCAAAAAAAAAAATCGAAAGAAAAAGACACCCGCATGTGGGCATAGGACCGATTATTTCAGGGAAAATGCATCGGGGGGAGGTAGACCGCAACATGGAAATGTTTCCTGACAGTGCACATCGTTTTGAGCAAACGTCAGACGACGTAACCGATGCATCAATTTAAAAAACATACTCGATCAGGCACTTTGCACATTTGTCTTATATGGAATAAGCAAACACCATCTTTTTAAACAGAAGCATAACTGAAAGGAACACTGGCATACATGTCTGCAAGACCGAAGACCGGACACGAAAAAAAGAGGAATTGCAGAAGGTGACGAGGCACACCCAAACGACACGGAGACCGAGCAAGTCGCTACATAATACATATAATACACAATAATACATTGCAGATTCGAAATGCACACGACTCGCCACAAAAACGGTGAAGCGAAAACAACCGACAAAAACCCATTTCGGGACCTCCTAAATGGTAAACGCTAAACCCAAGTAACGCAGACCAAGCAGGCCCGAGCAAGTCGCTATATAATACATATAATACAGAATAATACATTGCACATTCGAAATGCACACAACTCGCCAAAAAAACGGCGAAGCGAAAACAGCCGAGAAAAACCCGTTCCGGGACCTCCTAAATGGTAAACGCTAAACCCAAGTAACAAACCAAGCAGGAAGTTGAAGTAAGCATAAACGTAAACATAAACATCAACAAGAACACTATGAAAAGTACGAACAACACATGCGAAAAGTACGAACACTATGAAAAGCACGAACAGTATGAAACAGAAACACTGTGAAACATAAACGTAAACATAAACATCAACAGGAACATTATGAAAAGTACCAACACTACGAAACATAAAGACCAACAGTACCAACAGTAAGAACAGTGTGAACAGTATGTGAAGCCTATGAACACTATATATACACCGTGGACAGTACGAACAGTATGCGAAGAGTATGAACAGCAAACCGCAAACCCGAGTCAGGCAGATCGAGGCTAAACCTTGACGAAATACCAAAACGCCGAAAGAGCGCCAACCATCCGCAATGCACAGCAGCATCAAAAAGCACAGTCGCAAGAACAACAACTCCCCCCCAAAAAAAAGAGGGACTGAAAACCCTAAACCCTGAACCCTAAACCCTAAACCCAGTCTGGTAGACACCGATAGAACAACAACTAAACAGCACAGTTCAAAAGACAGACAACTAGACCGTCCGCAAAACGTAACCGAATCTAAACACTAAAGCCTCGTCATGTATAGTCACCCGGAAACACAGCATGCCGAGTTCCGGGGCAAAAAGGAACCCAGCGGAACCCCAGACTGGTCAGGCAGGCCCAACCTTGACAGGGACTTTACAATTCAAGCATCACAAAAACCAGTTGACGGTTTCTGTCTCAACGGTCAGGCCGATGGCACACGAAAAGAAAGGACAGCAGTAAACATGACGACCACTGTCTCAACCGACACGCTGTAGTCACACAGAAAACAAACAGCAGCACAACACATAGGAGCCTACTCCGGAGCCACGACATGGAAATCGTAATCGTTATCCCCGGGACCGATGTGGACCATGGGAACCAGAATGTCGATATCCTCCTGTCTGTCAATGAGCATGAGCTGGGAGCCGAAGTCATCAAAATGAAAGTGACGTTCGTCATCTAGCTCCCTTAGAAGGGATGCACCGTCGAGCAGATGATGATGGAACGTGTCAACCTCTGCAATCTGCAGCTGAGTGATGACCATATCATCCTCCCGCGGCGCATCATTGACGTTCTTGAATGGTTCCGGGGGGACACTCGACCCAACTACGGAGGAAGACGCACCTGCACCAGGTTGAAAGAGCGTGTAGCCGCAAAAAGGACAGGAGCTGGTTGTCTGGGAGGCAAGGCGAACTTGCAAAGCTGCATACTCGATCTGCATTTTTTTATGGGCCTTCTGCAACAGTAACATCTCATGTACAATGGCATTGACAGGGTGTCTCGCATCCTCGTCCGCAGCAGCCAGCAGCAACCTACCATGCGTGAACCTCAACCTCTGAAGATCAGAAGCCTGCTGCATAGTTATGTCATACGTAGCGGCAACAGTTTGCTGGACGGAAGTGGCAGTAATGAATTCTGCAAACTCTCGCCTCGCAGCCATCAACAGACCGTGGAGCACCTCAATTGTAGACAAAGCCTGAGGCTCAGTGACAACGAACTTCAGCGCCGCTTGCACCTCAGCCTGGACCAAGCAATAAAGTAACGTCTCACCAACCCACTGCAACTGATGAATAGTTGACTGTAAATCAGAACTGTCGAAGCCTTGTAGCACGTCATTGTTCGGCAATACGAACAGTGGGTACACAATGCGTGCAAGATCACCCCTCATACCGGAGATGAACAACAGTCTTCTAATCTGGACGTCGAGCCGCACAACTTTCTGCTTCCACCGTGTCATGCTATCCCAAGCAACAAAGTCTGAGTGTACACTGAGATGGATTATTTTATTCCGGAGGTGGTCTATCTCTCGCTGCTTGAACAAAGCCATGTTCCTGTCTAGATCCTCGTCACCTCGAGGCCCGCAAGCAGCAACACTCACCACAAAAGACTTCTTCCTGGGGGCAAAGCGCGAAAGGCCCCTTGACGCTGCAGTCACCTTCTTTGCGGATTGCTTGCCACTCAAGACCTGAACCACCTCCTTGTGGGACATTCTAACTTTCTGCAGCAAAAAACCCAACTGCTCATCGTGCAGTCGCTGCTGATCAGCCAGCGCCCGCTGAGGCGAATCAATCTCCTGCTGTTTGATATACAGGATATGCGGGAGCTCGTCAAGGGACCACCTAAGCCCATCGGCATCCCTATAGTCCTGGCCGGAAACCTGCCGCATCTCAAAATCAGACGGCGTTTTGCTCTCTAGCGGGTAGAACTGGACATCATAGTTCATATCCCGACACGTCCATGCATGGAAAGCGCGACCAGCAACAGGCTGAGGAACATGTCCTTCCATTGTTGGGAGCGACTCCTGTGATCAGCGGACAGAGCAAAAGAGACATTAACACAATCCATCTTAAACGGCAGGGCTCACACACAACCGCAGGAACTGGTAACCCAAAAATCAGTAAAGGCAAAGCAGGGCCGGACGACAGACCTACCCAGCAGAGCGCAAGGCCCAAACAGCCACGAAAACAAAACATCGTTGTCCCCCCCCCCCCAACCGCCTCAAAACAGAGGCGATCGGACCAGCCGTTCACCGAGGGCAGAGTCGAAGAACAACAAACGGCAGCAAACCACAGGAAACGCAACAATCGTGTTGAGAGGCCACAGAGACGAAAGAAAGCAACAGGCACCAAAGCGAAGGACACGGACCGGGGATACCTCCACCCTGGACAAATGGTTTTGACATTCAGCCCATAAGAACTCTCCAACGTGCAGCTCGGAAATCGAGTCGATCCCTGATCTCATCCTCGACTTCCTCGTACGAGGAGGCTCGAAATGGCTGTCAGAGCGTTCAGGAACCGAAGCTGGAGAGTCCGGATCCAACCCTTGCATATCGATCCGATCAGCCTCGGCAGTAAGCAACATGCCGAGTTCCGTGGCACTCCGTATCACCCTCGGCCTATCCCTCATACACATGGCCATGACCCGTCCATCAGCCGCAGCATGATGCAGAAGGATGTCCGGGGGACAGTAGGGCAATGGCTTTGGCACCCGGACAGGGCGTCTGTCAATGCGCAAAGCCAGCGCAACAGTGAGCTCTGATCTCGTTGTTCGCGACAGCAAACCGCAGCGCAGCGCTGCTCTGCGCATGCTGAACATGCCTAAGAAGCTCACGCCCTACCCACTGAAGGTTCATAACCAAAGCCGAGTACATATCGCGGGACATCTCATGAAGCACATCTGCGGAGGCGATATAAAACACAGGTGCCACAATGGTAGCGAGGTCACCTGTCAGATCAGTATTCCCAACGAAGCTTTTGACCTCATGCTCTGCAACTAACGCCCTGCATCTCCACTGGGCAGCATCAACCTGACTGTGAACATCTATCCTCCTCTCTAACCACGAAATCTCAGAGCGAAGGATATCTTTTTCGTGCTCAGCAATAGCAGCCGCTGCGCGCTGAATCCCAATGAACTCCTCATCTAAGCGGTGCACATTGACATTCTCGTCGAACGGAACGCGGACATGGCCATCTGCGGGGTTTACATGGTTAACCGCAATGTTCTCCCTGACAGTCAACAATGCCCTCAGCGCGTTCATGCCAGCCTCATGGATGGATTGTTGCCTACGGATCTGTTTCTTCAGCGCTTTGTTTTCGATTCGTAGGCCTCCCAACAGCTGCAGCAAGTCCTGCTGAGACGGTGGGAAACTTGAGTCATCGTCAAACAGGGTGGAAGGCGATCTGGCACTGCCGCCCGCCCCGGGAGGAGGAATCCCATCAGATATATACGCTGGATTAAGGATCCTCCCAAACGGGAACGAAGGCACCAAAGCTCGGCCATTATCCATGGGAAGAATGTTAAACCTACGACGAAAACAACACCAAAAAGGAATAATGCGCAATTAGACAACAATGGGGTATCAACACAACATAGAATGGGACGAGGCATGTATAAGAACTCCTCAAAAACGACAACACATGCCAGACGAGCAGAGTATATATCCATCAAAGTCGTGACCACGAATCCAGCGACATACATCCAGGAACAAACAAAGAAAACGCATCCCGCAGCACTCAGTTGAGAAACAAAGCGCACGAAGTCAGGAATAAGGCCAGGGCTCCAAAGAAGTACATTTGCACCCCACACGGCGTTGAACGGGCGCACGACCCGGGAACAGCAAAAAGACACAGCTCTGAAGTTGAGCACATAGCGGCAAATGAACAACAACAACCTTAGGCACACGTCATTTGCGAACGCCACCAACCGAAAAGACATCACAGGACCCACGCAACCTCAAATGCAGACAGACAGGAGCAGAATGAAACGTACAACATGTCAATCCTCACCACGAATGCAGCGACAGACATCTAGTAACGAACAAACAAAACCCATCTCGCGGCACCACTCGACACAGAAAAGAGGGGAACTCAGTAATAAGGCCAGCGCTGCAAAGAAGTACAGTTGGTCCACACGCGGTATTGAACGCCTGCACGAGCAGGACACACCAGAACGACACAGCTGTGAAACTGAGCACATGGCGGCATATCAACAGCAAGGACCATTGACAGACGTCGTTTCTGAAGGGCACCAACCCAAAAAGGCTTCGCAAAGACCCCCACAACCTCAAGTGCCGGCAGACAGGAACAGAACGAAGCGTACAGCATGGCGATGCTGAGCTGGAATGCAGCGAGACACATCTAGTAACGAACAAACAAAACGCATCCCGCAGCACACGGTTGACACACAAAAGACGGGAACTCACTAATAAGGCCAGGGGTCCAAAGAAGCACATTCGGTGCAAACACGGCATTGAACACGCGCATGACCAGGAAACAGCAAAAGGACACAGATCTGAAGCTGAGCACATACCGACAAATCAACAACAACGACCTTAGACACATGTCGTTCGTGAACTGGCCCAACCGAAAAGCCTTCGGAAAGACCCCCGCAAGCTCAAATCCAGACAGACAGCAGCACAACGAAGCGTACAACATGGCGATCCACTCCCAATAAAAAGACACGAAACGGAACACACATCCGACCTGAGAACGGAAGCGCACAATAAGCAGAGGCATCGGAACTCGCCAAGGAGAAATCGTGCACAAAGACGTCAGAGAAGCAGAAGATTTCGAACAAAGAACGAGAGCACAGAAAGTGACTGTCCACACGGGAACCGAGGCGAAAGATGGCAAACAATACAGAACGTACCTGGAGCCGAAGACAACAGCAGATAACACGGCTCGTATCCGAGAAAAGATCGAAGCAATGAGGCCGCTAAGAAAACAGCCGGGCCACCGGAACTAAAACCTCTGCGTACGAGGAACAGAACTCGAGGATAACGTGTGTCGTCGAACTATGCCGAGCTCGTCAACCATATACACAGAACACCTCTACAGCACCCTCATGGTCAACCACAATGGCCCGTCGAAGAGTAAGCACGGCAAGCAGCAAAGGGGAGCTGCCGTCCATGTGCAGGCCACGAAGGACACAAACGAAGACAAAAACACGGCAAGACCACCCACGCAAGAGAGCAGAACGCCTCGAAGAGAAGAACAGCGGACACGAAGCCCGACCTGGCGGCCTGCACTAAAGGTAAGAACCCACAACCGAGCAGGGTGACCAGTAACGAAGACAATCGGGAGCGAACAACGCAACAGAAGGAAGCGAGCGGCCACCCGCCGTATTGAATCCGACGAACGAAGGACGTAACGACGAAGAGGACGCCTGGGTAACAACGCAAGCAAGCCGAATACCTTCGTAGCGAGGAACAGGACGCCTGGGTAACAACGCAACCGAGCGGAATAAACCGGCAGGCATAGCGAGACAGTCGACTAACTGAGCAGGTAACGCGCAACTACAACTGCTAGAATGGCTATCCGTCCAGTGAATAGCTGCATTTATACTCGAGCTCCGGTTGCACGTGACTATCTACCACAGGCACAAATTCACCATGCCAAGGAGAACAACAAAAACGGCCGATCCTCTACCGAAGACCGGTATTCCACATATATATATATACATATATATATGTATATATACAGATAGACAACTACAGACATATATATCGTCACAAACAGAACTGCCCGGTAAAACCGTAGGCAGAGAGAGAGAAGAGGACAACAAACGAGGGGCTGTGACAAACTGTTTCGTCGGAGGTTCACCGACTCATCAGGAGGCAGACATATATATATATATATATATCGTCAAATAGAACTGCCCGGTAAACCGTAGGCAGAGAGGGAGAAGAGGACAACAAACGAGGGGTTGTGACAAACTGTTTCGTCGGAGTTTCACCGACTCATCAGGAGGCTATATATA